CTCATCCAGACTTCCTTTTGTGCTGCGTTTCTAGTCACAGGCCTGCACTTTAAAGCACCATGATGGTAGCTCAGTCGGTACAGCATGAGACTCTTAATCTCTGGGTCCTGGGTTCGAGACCCAAATTGGGCAAAAGATTCTGGCATTGCAGAAGGTTGGACTAGATGATCCTTGGGATCCCTTCCAACACTACATTTCTATGTCTGAATGCTTTTTTATTCCCCGTGAAAACCCACTCTTTACTGCTGAATGGGAGCAAAACAATTCAGGAAAACCTGAATTGCCGTTTGTTCAAATTTAGTGTTAAAAAGCTACTGGGAAGAATGGAAAAAAGGGTTCAAACACAGCGCTTTAAAGCACAGACGTGCACATAGAAAGTAAAGGGCCAAAAGTGTGGATGAGCCCTAAATGTATGCAGTGGAGGAGACAAAAAAGCCTCAGAAAGACTGGCAACAGCAAACATGAAAAGATGTTTGGTATTGTCTTCTGAACGATGGCTCCCGGGCACCCAAATGTATTAGCATTCCTATGGCAATTCAAAACTCCTCAAGAGCACCAGGTTGAGGAAGGCTATTGTAGCCAATATAACTTATGGCTGATCCATGCATTTGACATTTTTAGGTTCCAGAAATATCTGACTTGTGGGTTAGGGACGTCACATGTATGTACTTTCAGTGGCTGGGTTCTTGTGAACAAACATGGCACTGGGAGCCTAATCTTTCTCTTAACACTGCCTTGGCGTTGGTTTATTGGGCGGCTAGCCCATTTCAACCCATGTGCACCATTTACAGCGGGTGCCCTATGGTTTTATTACACCATTTAAATGTGGGGTTTTTCAGTAGCTGAGTTCAAGCAGCAAAATGTTAATCAGCTCATGCGCTGGTCTAGATACAGACTGAAGTAGTAAAATATCTTGGTTTAGATGAGTCTATAAGTGTAGGAAATGTATGTGCCCTGGAAATTGGGTGGTGCCCTCATGCCATGCCCTCTCCTTGGGCACACTTGAGACATAACATTTGCCTAACACCTACATCCATGAAGCCCCAGAACAGCTGGATTTTAAACTGGTCCAGTTTTCTCAGCCCTTTGCAAATATTACTTCCAATGTGTGGCTATTTGGTAGTCACAGAAGCAGGAGTGGCACACATGCTAGATAGGTGTGATCTTTTCCTAACATGGGGATGGCTCTCTGCATTTAGAGCCTTGGTTCAAATAAATAGCTTCAGGCAGAAGAGAAATCTTATCTGTCTATGTTAACTCTTAATGCAGGATATAGTAGGAATGAGGAACCATAGAACTATATATTGTACCAATTTGGACATCACGCCAAACCATAGTTTAGCAGGCAAGAATGAGATGCAGGCTTATATACTCTTCCTCCCCTCCCAGAAGCAAAGCCTTCTTCCTTCTTATGGCAGCTCTGGTTTTTGCTTAACCAGTGGTTTATTTTTAACCATGGCTGGTTTGAAATGTGAAGTTCAAACCATGGTTTATGAAGCTGGCTTGTTCAAACAAATCACAGTTAATACTATCGTTTAGGGTTCTGATATCAGTGGTTAATCAAAAGTGGAAGCAAAAAGTTTCTGGACTCCACTTTGTAGCTGTGCTGGAGGAGAAAAGGGGGAAATGCATGGATAGGGGGCTCACCTTAGGCTCCTTCGCATCACTATGAACCATGGTTTGGCTGTAACACCCAAAGGCAGCCTTTCTGTGAGGGGTCTGGTTGACAGCAGCACTTGCCTCACCTTCTGGCAGCTTTTGTGGGTGCACAAAAGCCACCTTAAAGGAGAAGCCAAATTGTTTTCTTTGGAGCACCTCATTTGCAGGTTTGTCAGCCAGATGTGCCACCCAGCCTGAAATGTGTTTGTAAAGTGCTGTAGGACAAGGAATGCGGCAGGATTAGCTCGTAAGGGAATCCACCAGGGTGGGGCATCAGTCAAAGCTGAAGCTACTCCTACAAGCAAGCTGGAATGAATTTGTCAGAGGAGGAGGGAGGCGAAAAAGGGGGTATATTGCAACATATGGCATTTATCAATTGTTTCATTTACAGCTTAGGATGAAAAACGAAAACAAAAACACAACTAAGGAATGAACAAATGATGGAAGGAAGGAAGGAAGGAAGGAATGATGGCCCTCACAACATGCTGTGGATGTCCGTGGACAGATGGGCTTCAATGATGGGTCATATGGGTTGTTGTTTTAACTGAATCTTACCCTCATCCCTTCAAATCGTGATAGTGCTCTTAAGGGTCTCAGAGCTCTGAGGGTCCTAAGGGATTTAATGGGACCCATTTCGGAGTATCCAAGTGTACTAGCTATGAGGCTTACTAATGAGACCTGAATGGAGACACAAAATGGAAAAGTCCAAACCATTAGCACAAATCCTACCATTCAGCTTCTCTTCTCTGGATTTTCACCTGTAAAGATAAGCCTGGTTAATCAACTGATGAAGAAAGAGCCTAAAAGGAGGAAAAATATATAGCATTAACCCAGCACAAAGGCAGGGGCAAAACAACCCCATCAGCATTCTCATGTATAAACATCATTTCCAGGAGACCTTCAGGATATAGACCCATTCACTGATTTCCAGTGCAAAATGAAACCACAAGACTTCAAAACCAGAGGGAACCCCCGTCTTAAATGTTGTCTTACTTTCCTCAAGGTGACCACATGGAGCTCCAACTGATGTCAAAAGTTGGTCAGAAAAAGGAAGGAAGAAGGACCAGCAAAATCTAATTCTGGCAGTGTTTTCCTGAAACACAAACTTTTTGTGTGTGCAGTTGATTTGAATTTTTTTTATATAATTGAATGGAAACAGCAGAGATGTGGGCACAGGTCCCATTATTAAATTATGCAAACACTGTAATTTTGTGCCCTCAAAATGAATCACTTTGCAAGACCCAGCCATTTATTACGATCCTTTGAAAAAGAATGCCATAGCCTGTGATGTATCTCTGTAATACCCAATTTCATTGTGTGTGTGCGTGTTTTAAATGGTGTCGGATCTGTGTCACTATGTTACACCCTTCTCTATAAAGAACTGTACCCATTGCCTTGCTTTGGATTAGCAAAATGAAGCCGCCATGGGCCACCTTAAGGAAAGACTTGATGGCCCGTTAACCTGTGGGAAAGAGAGAGAAGGTGCTGATTACTGGAGGTGAACACACTTCATAGACACTGAAAGACGACAACCCTTACCCTTATGCTCTCAAATCGGGACAGGGCTCGGAGGGGCCTCAAGGCCCTCAGCGTCCTGAGGGATTTCATAGCGGCCAGGTGGTCATAGCCGAGAATTGATCCTATCTGGCAAATAACTGAAATCTGTGCAGATCGAATGGAATTTGAAATTATTGGTCAAGGCGAGCAAAGAGAGACAAGAAGAGACACAGAGAGAAAATAGGAACAGCACAATCAGGGGAAGATTCTGAGAACCCAGGTAAAGTCACTTGGCCGTTTTGAAACAAGTGCAAGTGTAGGATGTGAGCGAACAGGGGCTACGTTTCTAACGAAGCGTCTGCTCCATTGGTGCCACGTAGCTCACAAAAGTGCTTAAAGTGGGCTGTGCCAGTGGAACGAATGTCCAACTAAACATTCAGCTCTGGGATGAAAGAGTGGTGGAAGGTCAAAATCTGGGTGGGAATAAATTGGAGGGTGGGAATAAAATTTAGACATTGGGGTTGGGACAGGGGACCTACCAGGATAAGTGGCAGTGTGGCTGCCATCTTCCTTGCTCCCAACAATGCCTCAGGTACAACACAATACAGGACAGTATCCAAAGAAGCAGATCTGCTGGCTCAAGGACTTTTGAGTGGGCAGCAGAACTTCCCCTCCCTCTCCTCCCCTTGCATTTCCCCCAATTTGTTGTAGGTTTTCTTCCAATCCTCCAGAGCAGATTTTGGGGAGAGTACAGGAGATGTGAGGGGAGAAGGGAGGGGAGGGAAGTTCTGCTGCACAGGTGGAAATCATTGTGCTGCTAGTGGATCTACTTGATAGTGTCATTCCAAAGAGACAAATCAGACAAAACATAGCCACCTGTTGGGCCACCAGGAGAGGCCCATCACCACCTCTTGGGACAGTGGCCAAATGGTAATTTTAAAAGGGGGGAGGTGCTGCCACTGTGGCTTGTCCCAAAGAAGCCTCCGCTCCAATTTTTCAATTTTCTCCACCCCGCCCCCCCAGTTTTCTGCCCCAAGTACTCCCCAGTCTTCCTCCTCACCGTCACAAGGTTTTTACAAATCAAATTAGGTTGCTTTAGTACCCAGCTGCTGGTTGGTTTGTGTTTATCGTTCTGATTTTATGGCTATTTTATCGTTTTATGTGGTGATTTGTTATGCTTATCTTTACGAGATGAACTCTGCTGATTCAGTCTTTAACGTACCTTGTCCTGGGCTCCCTTGGGAGGAAGAGCGATTCACAAAACCAACAGCTGAATTGATTAAAGTAACTAGATGCAACAGGGGCACCCTCATTTCATTGACTTGTGCACCTAATTCATTCATGAGTAAGGCAAAACCTTGGGAAGGAGGCACAGCTGGGTGGGAGGACGCCTGCTTTGCATGCAGAATGCCCACAGTCCCTGCATTGCAGGGGGTTAGACTAGACAACCCAAAGGGTCCCTTCCAACTATGACTCTTGTACACTTAAACCGTGAAATGCACTAGAAGAAGAAGAGGAGTTTGGATTTGATATCCCGCTTTATCACTACCCGAAGGAGTCTCAAAGCGGCTAACATTCTCCTTTCCCTTCCTCCCCCACAACAAACACTCTGTGAGGTGAGTGAGGCTGAGAGACTTCAGAGAAGTGTGACTAGCCCAAGGTCACCCAGCAGCTGCATGTGGAGCGGGGAATCGAACCCGGTTCACCAGATTATGAGACTACTGCTCTTAACCACTACACCACACTGGCTCTCATTACAGGTGCTGCTGTCCTCCTGACATAGATTTATCAGGTGTCTGTTCTACAGATTAGGCAGGGAAAGGCTGCAATAGCTGGCAACTCTTTGAAGCCTTGGACACAGTCCATAGGTTGAGGTGAGTTGACTAAATACTCCGCTGTCGATTTTGGAGGTATTTCATTTCTCCCTGTCAAATTTTATTCATAGGAGAAACCTCAACCGTATAGGCTTGGCGCTTTGGACTTGATTAAATGTGACCTCGGAAGATATTTTTAAAATAATCAAACAGCTTTCAAAATCCATGCTGACTGCCCCACATAGCCCAGGCAAACGCAGAAGTCAGCACTTTTCAAAGAGAGCTTCCCTGCCCCCCCACCGCTCCCCCCCCCAATGCAAGCTTGTTAAGCAAGACCTGATTCTTTCCAACACATCTGCCTGAGCCTCTCTCTCCCGATGAATGTTGCATCCATAATCCTGTCCTGCTAGAATGCCACACAGCAGTGCTTCCAAATGCAAGACTTCCATGCGCCTTCTAGTAATTTGTATGGAATTGGTTTTATGCCTCTGGAAATGCTTGCGGTCTCACTTCACACATTGTTCCTATTAATCACAATTCCCATTTACAACATTTTTATGATGCCCAATAACAAAAGTTCTCCAAGAGAAAAGTAAAGGCAAGATTCTAAATGCTACGTCAACTTGGGTGGCCATAATCTCTTGGATGAGTAAAGCATCCGTTTTTGCACAGGATAACACCCCAGAGCCTTGTGATGGCTGCAAGGCTGACCACTTTTTCTTCCTGATCTGAACTTACTTGCCAATGCAGCTGGAAGAAGTACTGTTAGAAAGCTGGGGTGGAGGGGAAGGTGGTCAGTTCCGCTAGCAAAACCCAGCATTGGTTGCTAGGCATGGAACTAGATCCGAGAGGAGGATGGGGATTAGTGAAATGGCGGCTGCTGTCACATCGGCACCGGTGGATGCATAAAACTATTGTCAAAGAGCGAGCCGACAGTAAATCACACCTCAACTCTTTATTAGCAAAAACTTTACAGAGTTGGCTGAGTGTCAGGCCTAATGAGCAGCTCATCCTCGGTAGGTCGTACCCCGTGATTCAGTTGCCAAGACTCAAAGTCCCTGCCTCTCCACAGCCATCTAAGTCCCCTCATCTCCAGGGCTTTTCCCAAATCTTTCCTGCATGTGGCCTGGCATTGTTCCACCCATTTCAGCCCTCTTCTGGTTCTGTAAGACAATGGAGGAGGTGAGCTTGTCGCAGCAGGAGCGGGAGGCACCCATGACTCTTCGCCAGCCTGACTCATCTCTTCCTCTTGGCTTCACCTGCTTCAGCTTCTGCCTCCGATTCTGGGCTTCTCTCTGCCACAGGCTCTCCCTGCTCACTAAGCCCTGTTACCTCCCCAGCTCCCAACACCTCTTCCCAGCCTTCTCCCTGTGACCCCAGGTTCTGATCCTGCTTTCCTTGGTGGTTCCCCAGCTGGTTCCTCCCACCATTCCTCTGTGTTGAACCAGTCCATGACACCTATGCAGTCCCCAATGGAAGGGTCACTTAGGTGCCTCTTTTCCAGATGAAGGGAGCAGAGTCCTCATAGAGGACCCTTGGTCCTATGAACTGCACTGGGGTTGATCATTCTAGAAACACAGGAAGCTGGCATACACTACGTCCAACTATTACTCCATCTAGCTCAGCATTGTCCACACTGACTGGGTCTGTAGGGTTTCAAGCATGGGGTCTCTCCCAGCCAGACCTGGAGATGATGCAGATTGGTTGAGACTTACTGCATGAGAAGCAGTTGTTCTTCCATTGTCTGACAGCTTAGCTAAACTTAAGAACCATCAATAAGTGCCAGAACTAAGACGCACAACCCCCAAAATCTGATGGATTTGAATTGCGGTTTACATAGAGGGAGCTTATTGTGTGTAGTGCTTACTTAACTGAAGTAAAATTGGTTTTATATGGGTGTTTTAACTTGGAACTGTTTAAATTGTATTGTTTATGGATAAATTCTGATGTATTGTTTTTGATATGGGCTAATGGTCGCAATAAATCTATCTATCTATCTATCTTCCATTGAGCTACAACCCTACCATTCAGGTAGCCAGCAATGTCCCTGCGACAGCAGCAGCCATTATGCAAATAACCATCTTCCACCGAGAACCATTTGCATGCCTAGCTTCCAATGGGAAGAGGCCGCCATGCTTAAGAGTCCTGGAAATAAAGGGCCAAGAATGCAAAGGCGAGGAACCACCAGCACTTACCCACTGACCTAGCCAGCGGCAGAGAAAACCTGGTTTAGAAGTTACATTAACGTCACATGCTCATTTTCAGTTGCCAAGCTAATGGGGCAGCCATTTCTCTCTCTCATCTTCACTGACCTCCCAGGACTGGTTGTGAGGATAATGAAAGGTGGCAATAACTGGGTGGTGAACAGTGGCGTAGAACATAAATAATGAGCAGGCCATGTTGTTATTGTTCCAGACCCTCATTCATATCAGTTCGGAGCCAAGTGAAAGATAAGCTCAAACATCATTAAAGACTTCCTAGCATTTGTCCCAGGGGTATGGCTGCAGATGTGTGGCATTATTTGACACCCAGCCTCGGAGAAGAGGGCACGCAAGGCGAATTCAGGCCAAAAATATGCAGGCTGTCCTCAGCCCCCCTTACCCTCGCTTCCTCTGCACTGAGCCCTCCCGTAATCCTCACCGTTTATAGATATCCTGGCCCCACCTGTTTCATACTCTCATTGGCTGCGGACATTTTTAGCTCATCACGGCTGGTGACTTAATGTTAAGCTTTGGGGGAAACCGGTTGCTGGGTATCCACTCAAGCAAAAACTCAATACCTTTTGGCATCCGGACAAACCAGAGCATTTCCATCAGGGCTCTGTTTGTCGGCAATTATTGACCGTCCCCTGTTCATTCAGATCTGCGTCCAAGGGAAGATGCAGAAATTGGAACATTGTGCCTGGGAGAACCATCGGAAGCGACAGCTCAGGTCACAGAGCTAGATCATGTCCACCCCTGTCCTTTTAAACCACATTTAAAGCAGATGCCCCCCCCCCCCGAATCAAGGGGACTCTAGTTTACCCCCTTTCAGAGCTATGATTTCCAGCAGCCTTAACACACTAACATACACAGGATTCTTTGGGGGAAGCCATGTGATTTCAATGGAAGGTGTGGATGTGGCCCTAGAGAGCCATGGAAGCAGTCTGTGGAACCTCAGGGGCTGAGCCTTTCCCTCCTTCAACTTTCCCTCCACATCCATCTTTTGCCTATGTATCTCCTCCGTCACGAGGCCTTCTGTTGGAATCGGTTTTCTATAGCATTTTGTACTACAAATATGTGCAGTCGTACCTTGGTTTTTGAGCAGCTTATTTCTTGAACGTTTCGGCTCCTGAATGCCGCAAACCCTGAA